CACGAGCGTGTCGCAGAGGCTTATCGGGCGTACGCAGACGCCCGCTTCGCCCTGCGGCACGCCATCGGGAGAGCCAGTCCCGAGCCTGGGAAGAGCTCCTCGGTGCCGTGCACGGGGATCCGTGGGGTCGGGCGTACAGGCTCGTCTTGGGGAGGCTCAGGCCCTGGGCCCCTCCAACGACGGAGAGTATGGACGTCCGGACACTTTCCACCGTGGTCCGGACATTGTTCCCAGAGGGGGACGGTGCGCCCCACCTCTCCCCCGTGGACCGCTTTATAACGTCGGCATTGGCCGGCGCGCGTTCGCAGGCATCCGGTCTCGATCCGGGTGCCGGGGGGTGGTCGCGCGGGCTCGAAATCGACAACGAGGAGCTCGGGAGGGCGGTTAAACGCATGTGTGCCAAGAAGGTCGCGCTTGGGCCGGACGGATTGCCTGGGCGCGCCTGGGGCGCGGCGATGGGGGTCCTCGCCCCGTGGGTCAGGCGGTTGTTTAACGGCTGCCTGGCCCGCGGGGAATATCCGCGAGAGTGGAAGGCGGCTCGGCTGATCCTCATAGCTAAGCCTGGGAGGCCTGCCGGAATGCCCTCGGCATATAGGCCGATCTGCTTGCTCGACGAGGTGGGAAAGTTGTTCGAAAGAATAGTAACTTCCCGCCTCGTCGACCACCTGTCCCTTCGTGCGCCGGGACTGGATGGGGCCCAGTTCGGGTTCCGGAGGGGGCGTGGCACGCTCGATGCTATCGGTCGTGTGCGCTCCTTCTCCGAGAGCTGGACCGGCCGGAGGGGCGTGGTGCTGGCGGTGTCGATCGACATCGACAATGCCTTCAACACGCTCCCCTGGTGTAAAATACAGGAGAGACTGGAGTATCTCCGCGTTCCCCTGTATCTGAGGAAGGTCATCTCGACGTATCTCCGGGATAGGTGGATTTTATTCACGGATAGGGACGGCAGGTCTCACAGGAGATCAATTGACCGCGGGGTGCCCCAGGGATCCGTCCTGGGGCCCACTTTATGGAACATCGCGTACGATGTAGTCTTGAGGGATCCCCTCCCGCCGAACACAGAGGTCGTCTGTTACGCAGACGACACGTTTCTGCTGGTCGGCGGGACGGGATTTGCGTCGGTCAGCCGGGCCGCGGAAGTGGCGGCATCGGCGTTGTTGCGCTCTATCCGCGGGTTGGGCCTGCGGGTTTCGCCCACTA